ACACACACACACACACACACACACACACACATCTAGCATCGACCATCACGGTCGCTCATAATCCTCCTCATCGACTCCTTCCCTCTGGGAATTTATCACCTCGCTCGCGGCAATTGTGCGCGCGTGCATTCTCCTGTGCACAAATGGAGGACAAGGGCCGCGCGTGCCATTAACGTGCCCTAATGCATTTTGCGCGAATGAAAAGAGAAAGAGGCCCGGTCGCTCGATTGTCCTTTTCTCTTGTTGCGCTTTCCTCGGCGTACGTGCTCTCGTATCCTTGCAATGTGACGAGACTTTTGTATGGCTAGTAAAGCTATTACGCTCCAACTGGTAACAGACCTCCTTTGCAAGGACTTCAATTCGCAAAATTTCTCGTGCTCTCGTAATACATTCTCTTCTTATCAAAAATAATGGTTGGTGCACTTGGCGTGACGGTAGATTTCGATTAACTGTAAGTACTATTTGCCAAATTGCACATCAGTACGTGTATCTATAGGTTTTTTATTCACTTCAATGTTATCAAGAAGTTTTATAATGATTATTATCTAGGACGTGAGGGGGTAAATTTCACTCGTATCTGCTTGTAATATCGACAACTGCAGGTAATTATAATATCATATACTGAAATCTTTAATATTTTTAATATATAAAGGACTAATATATAATTTTTAATATATAAAGGACTTGTTACATATTATGGTAGATAAGCATTCCAATATTTTAGAATATTAAAAGAAAAATATCTAAATGATATTTATAAATAAGATAATTAGAATGCATATTGCGTCCTAAAGTCAGGAAGGCAGAAGAGAGAAAAAGAGGTTTTTCAAACTTTATTAGACCGCAGGGAATCACAGCCGAGAAATTTTTCAATTGCCCGAGGAAATACTATTTTCATTTAACGTATCGTCGTCACCCATACGCATTTTAGTTACGCTCGCATCATAATTACAAGATACAATTATGTTTACTTGCTACATCACGTACACTTAATAAGTACAACTAATACAAACGTATTAAATTGAAAAAGTAAAAGAACATTGGAACATCTCTAGATAACTAGAAGGGAATATTTCGAAATAATGCCAAGACTTTACGTGTCCAAAAAATTAAAAATAATATAATTACTAAATGACAGTTTATTATGGTCTTTGATCTATGGAAAATGTCGTCTAAACACTGGCAAATATTTATGAGCCTCAAAAACATTTCATTTACTTTGTGGAGAATAAATGACACGGAGTATACTATTTGCCTTCTAAGCTTAATATCTCATATCGAATGTATATTAAATGCTCGTGACATAATTGGTATTTCATAATGAACCGTCGAGCTTCGAGAAAGCGAACGCCTTGTTACAATTTATTTGAGTAATAGACGAATTGCCCTTGATAATTCAATGATTCACTTTTTTCTCGAATGTACTGATTCACTTTTGAGATTGCCATCTCAGTTGTAGAGTACGTATTCAGCTATTTTACACGGATTGATTAACCTAGAATCGTAGGAAGGTATATTTAAAAAATTCTTCGCTATATATATATATATATATATATATATTAATTGAATAATTTTCAGCGGAATTAATTATCATATTTTTTAAATTAATATTTTTGGCTATAATATGAGCAGTGCAGTATGAATCTTTTCATGCAAAAAATAAAATTAAAGAGATGAAACTAGCGTGTATTAAAAATTCAAGACAATATTACGTCATTTTATTTTAAACTTTATAGGTTTAAATATTGAAATTAATTCATACTATACATATATTTGTAGAACTCTTATAATTTTAAAACTGTCATACATTTTACTGACATTAAAATTTTACATCATTTAGAATAATCTTTATATTTTTTTTTCTTTCTTTCTTTCTTTTATATATATATATATATATAAAGATAGTTAACATTGGTATAAATATTAGAATTTTGTATAATTTATATACTACGTAGTTTTGATGATTATGATTTTGCATATTATTAAATTATCAAAACATTTTCTTTAAATACATTCAATGATTGTTGAACATGATGATTTAAGCAATTATTAATTCTTCGATTCCAATTATTTTATACTCGTGCTTACAATTCATTTTGAAACTCAAAACATATTTTGAGTTGATTGAAGAGTGTCTCCACGCTTTTGCTCTTTACGCTTAAAAAATTTATCATTCGTGGTACTTTGGAGGATAAATATTGTCAACGTGATATCGAACGTACGTGCCTCCTTACGTATCCTAACAGAGCATGGATTCGACCTTGAATAATAAAAATTATTGGGCAGTGATCGCATATCGAGTAAGAGCGTATGTATATCGTATGACATATTTGTTTAGTCGGAGTAAATATTTTGAAAGCCACGATAGGTGTGACTTTGGACGATATTGGACGTAATGCGGCCTAGTCCATCCACATAATTTTTCAACCGAGCTACATCGGAAATTCGAGGCCGCTTACTGAGAAAAGAGGCCGCCGCCTCGTCATAAACAGAGCTGGCTCGAGTGTAACAATACAAGGTTATTGCTCGGAAGCGCAAACAATATACGTCCAACCCCGTGGAGGGCCACTGGTGGGTCATTGAGGCGGAGGAGGGTGGGTTGGGGTTTGGGGGGTGGGGTGGGGTCGGGAGCGCGTGCATGCGCGGCTTCCTTCGATCGTAGCCGGCGCCAGTGGGTTCATCGTCCTTGACAGGGTGACATCCGTACGTAGCCCCGGAGCTCGTGTAGCCATGGCGGTGGCCATCGAGTCACCCAAGTTAGCGCCCTCTTGGCTCTGAACGGCCCGACGACCGGAGGACGGGAACGTCGCCGAGGACTCGAGGGCCTGATCGACGGGCCGCTGCGGTCGACGACGTCCTCCCTGCGTCCGCCCGGCTAAAATGTTTCCCCGTCGAATCAATACGCGGTGGTGCGCCTAGGATTGATGCCACGAAGACGCTCTCGGCTTGTCCATTTGCTCGATCGTCGTGAGAGGCTTCGACCCAACTGGCCGACTACGACGTCAAAGTAACTCGCTTCAAGTTCTCATCTCCCCCCCCCCCCCCCAAAACCTCGCGCGTTTTTACGTTTTACGGCTTCTTGGGCCGCTTATCGTCCACCGCCGCGTTACTTTTTCCGTTTTTATGAATAGCTTATCTCGTACGTGCAGTTCGACGTTTCGCTCGTTTGCTCTTGAGAACGGGGAGCGAGTTTCGTCCCTATACCTTGTGCATACAGCATCCGCGGTACTTCGATGTACTACTCCCAGATCATTTCCCAGCAAACCTCCGCTCGTCGCATTATGATCAAATCAATTTTCAAATTCCATTAATATTCTAAGTGCTTCGACGTCTCCTTGGTTCTTGCTTGGTTCTTGCTTGGTCCTTGCTTGTTCCTTGCTTGGTCCTTGCTTGGTCCTTGCTTGGTCCTTGCTTTTTCAGAAGCTCTTTACTTTCTTTATACTTTCAGCGGCTATCGCACCTTACTTTCGACCTGCATTCGCATAGGTAAATAAAACATAAGCTGCCCACTGATAATCGGATCCCTAAGCTTACAACTAATTTCAATGAGAATTACACTTTAATGATTCAATTATCTTGAATTAAGAAAGGACTGTAGTTATAAGCATCCATAATGAATGTGAGATCATAGAACGATACGGTTTGCAAGGAAATTATGGCCCGGTGACCATTAAAACGAACTGCCAAGAAATTTCTGAATTTCTAACCAATGCATTTTTCAAGATCGACACAATGATTTTTACTTTATTATATCCTACCAAGCAATATTGTAATTGAACGTATAGAAAGTCTAGACATTAGTGTAATCCATTAAATTTTATATATAATATAAGATCTTGATGGATGTATAATAATGAGTAGTATCTGTATGATTAGATGCGGGAATCAAGATTTATCAAGTTAATTTTACTGTTCGGGTGGCTGGTGAATTATTTGTGCTGTTACGACGTTCCGTGCAATTTCAACGCAATGTGTCTGTGTTGGGTACAAGATGACACTGACTTCACGAAAATGGATATTAGTTGCACTGGTGTACCCTTTGCCAGATTTCCAGGTATCAATTACAAGTGGTACAATCTTTCATTCTCAAATAAATCATAATTCAAATTATTTAATATGAATGTATAATTCATTTATGCGTTATATTTTTAATAACACGGCTACGTAATTTATTGCTTGAAATTCAATAAACACGAACATTGTAGGCATTATTGGATCAGGTTTTCTAAACTCAAACACATTTTTCTTATTCGTGTGCATCATAAAAAATTAACGCATCTTATCTGCGTTTTCATAAATTGCTTTAATTAAACATTCAATAATAATATCATTTTTATCTTTAAGAATTTTTTTTTATACACAGTACACGGAAAATACCATGGTAAATACATGTAAATTAAATTACATTTTTTTATATTGTTTTTATCAGCGTTGTAAATTATTATTACTTATGTGAAATTAATCGATATAATTTTTATTGAACAATCGACGTTTTATGTGGGCATAATTACTAAATTTTTTTTTGTTATTATTATAAGGAACTTTATTACACGAATATAATTGTAATTTAAATTTCTATTGAATTATTACAAAGTTTCAAATTAATTGAACGCATATACAACATACAACATTTATAATCGTTCGGTACAAAATTATATGTCCATAATAAATAAAATATATGGAAGTAAGATTTTTATCTGATTATTTCGATCAATCAATTATATCGTCAATAAATTCAAATGATTTTACGCATAAAATTTTTGAAGAATATATTTCGATAATAATTATTTATACGGTTAATGGTTACACACACACGCACGCGCGCGCGCGCGCAAAACATATAAAAGAATAATTTGGAAAATATATGCACGTCTTTACTATACATTTTGATATCGTAATGAATTAATTCCAGAATAAATTGTGACTTTGTGATAAATAATGAATCTTAAATGAACGAATACAAGAATTATTCAATTTTAATTATTCATTTACGACTGAGAAAGTTAATATGATGTATGTATGCTTTTCTCGATTAAAATTTTAATATTAAGGATTTGCCATTATGGATTGAGTTCAGGATGCCAATGATTGTAAAGAAAATTAAATATAACATGAAACAATGTGCTTGCAGATGTTTCCATAAGTTACGTGGCGCAGCTTGATGTCGTTGGCTCGAGCTTGCAAGTGTTTGACAACGAAGCTCTTGCAAGTGCATCCGGAGTCGAGGCACTTGGCCTTATGAGTAATCAGCTCATGAGCATTAACGAAAAGTCTCTCTTGTAAGTACAGACACTTATTTGAAACCACGAGGGATATTTTTGGAATGGAAAATATTTAGGTGATATCCCATACATGCTGATGTAGGAAATTTCGATCAATTACTTTGCTCATTCTTTCATATATTATTTTATATTAATTTTAATATGACAATAATAATAGGCTGCTTTATAGTTATTGCCTATGGATTTTTATATCGCCAATCTTATGCGAATCGTATGGATTTTGGAACAAAACATTTTGCAATATCTTAATTGAGCTTAATTGCATTTTCATTTATGCATTCATCCGATTATTAATACAATGTTAAATGTAATAAAATCAGAATTATATATTTAAACCTAAATTATATTAAATTTAATAGTTTACATATTATGTATATAAGCGAGTGATTAATCGTCTTGTAATTTAAACATTATTTAATCTTGATCGCATTTTTATCGCATTTACATTTTATCTTGATAATTTGAGAATTAAATGTACTTGTTGGAATTAATAGTTGAAAAACAGAAACAGCGACAATTAAGATAATACCGTTTAATCATTTCTATCAATAGCAACGAAAATTTTTATTATACATTAACGCCGCCAATCATTAATCGGTCGAATCTTCATTCAATATGATGTTATTAGCTGAATCATTATCATTATTCACTTTAAAGAGATGTAAATGTCTCAAATTAGTTTTATTCACGATTTTCTAAATTTTCTAGATGTTGACTAAATGTTTTAATGCAAACCTTGAAAGACGTGTATGTAGCTTTTATATGGACATTGATTGTTCAGGGGAGTGAGTAACAGTTTGCGCTCCCTGGATCTGAGTTACAATTCACTGGAGGAGGTACCACTAAAGGCTCTACAGGACTTACGGAGACTAAATTGGCTCAATATGCACAGGTAAGGCGAGAGAGGAATTATTAAAGAATTTCCTCTAACATATCCGCGCATACGGTTACCTAGAGTACCTCGATTAAGCTTCAATTGCTACATCATAACAAGAGCTGCAGATTTAATTTTAATACCAACTAATGTAGTATCGATGAAATCTTTTTCCCTTAAAAACAACAATTTTACAATCACCAATCTTAATATTAATGTGCCTTAAAATGTGCGAATTTACAATTACAGTCAGATTCGTTCGTATTTATTTTAGTCATTAGAATGAAGAAAAAAAAAACAAAACAAAACAAAACAAAAACAAAAAACAAAAATAACAACGTTAGCTGAAGCTCATAATTAATTTAGAAAGCATAAAATCATAATAAATTTTCTGTTAAAAAAGAGAAAGAAAAGACTTTTAAATGAAATCATGTTAGTTGATTTTTTTTGTTTTTTGTTTTTTTTGTTTTTCTAAAATATTTCAAGTGATTATATACAGATACATTACACACTGACACTCATTGGTATATATATTTTTAAGGAAATATATGGTAGATTATTGATATGCTAATTTTGTCCCGACATCATTGCGCTTCTATATTTTAAAATCTTCCTCTCTTATATTTTAAAACCTTGATGTGCATTTCTGAATTGTACAATGATCAACGGAATTACAAGTTTATCAATCTTTCACTGTTATTTTAAATTCAAGGTTTCTATACTTCAAGTGTTATTTTAAAATTCGGTCGTCAATTTTGTCTACTTTAGTAAAACTTATTAAAAGAGAGTCGATATCGTTATATTATTTTTATTAATCAATGAATATTAATCACTGAATAATCCGACCCTTTTCATAAAGTATAATTTATCCAGGAAAATTGTTTAGTTTCATCATTTATCAAACTATTATACGTTAGGTAGTGTGAAAAGAGATTGTGTAAAAGACATGAAAAATTTTACTATTCTTGTTACCTCTTAGTCACGTGCAAACTTATAATCATCCATTCTTTAATATAATCAAGTAAAAAAAAATTTACTCAATACTCGCTCCTACTTTCTTATTTAAATTAGGAATATTAATCGTAGCTTAGGGTTTCAGGTGTTGAGTTGTTAGTTAAGTGGGCAATTTAATTTATGCGATTATTCTATTTGAAAGAACGTCGGTACAAAATTTAATTAAAAGAAGAGGCAGACACCTCATTATCGTATACGCAAGACCGAATGTCGGTATTTGGATAACTCGATATATACATCATTAATCCAATATTAATAATAGGCTTTTTCCATTGCACAATTGCGCATATGAATATGTCAGCTTATTATCAGCTTATTGCATTGATTTTCAATTATAAAAACAATTGCGCTTTATTAATTTTCTGATAATTATCATCGATGTCTTTCGTTTAAACGCCATTACTTCGGTTATATTCAATGTGAGTAAAACCTAAAAATTACCTTAAGTTTTTCGAATTTTTTATTTTTGTATAATTAATCACCAATTATGCCATACTTTTACAAATAATTGAACGATTGTTTTTTCTTCTCGCGGGTGATGGATTTTATTATTATTGTGCAATATCGCGAGGTGCGCGAACGTAGTCGCGTGGCAAAAAGGAAAGAGAGCAAACGGGCGGTGCACTCTTAAAAGCATATTGGGAGCGATAAGGAGAGAAATAGGCGCGCAATGAGAAAAGCCGCCGCCACCGTCACATACGCATACTATTATTAGTTTAGCAGCTCGCAAGAATCAATGGGATTGTCGAAAATCAGCCCTTTTGGGTCGATTTACAATAGCCCGGGGCAGGCGCAAACTGTACAATTACGTGGGGCGTGTCCCGTGCACGTCAATTAAACGCATTCCGCTCGATTTGACGCAGCAATCATCTGACGACATTGGAAGGCGATTGGGGTTACGCGAGCGACACACTTTCGAACGCCTTTTTCGGCGACAACTCCATCGCCACCATTCCGCGGAGCTTCTCGACCTTCGCCGCCCTCGTCTGGCTTAACCTCGATAACAACAACATCGAGGACCTGAGAGCCGACGCCCTGCCGCCCAACATCGTCACCCTCAGCCTGAACGCGAATCTCCTCCGCACCCTCCCAGCCAGCCTCGCCACACTTAAGGACCTCACTTGGCTCTATCTCAGGGGCAACGACATCAGCCAACTCGAGCTTCCCAATTTCCGGAGCGCCAATCTCGAAATGATCGACCTCAGCGACAACACCATCGAGAGCATTACATACGTCGGTGCTCCAAACAATACCCTTCGCATTAAGGATCTCAACCTCTCGGGTAATGTGGCGCTTGAAGCAGGCCCAGCATACTTCTCTTATCAATTCTTTTATCTCGCGACAAATTCCCCCACCCGCTTAGCTATTCACGAATGGTCCATTCATTTATTCTCCTACCGAGCTTAAGTAAAATATGATATCTCGGTCGGTTAGCGCAACATCTCGCGATCATTAATTAATTAATTCGTTGTCGAATTGCCTACGAGTTGGATATTAAATGCCGTTACATTTACGTTTGCGATAAAATTTCACAATGCCAAGACGAATTTTAGAGTTTTATAAGCGTTGAGTATGCACGATAACAACACCTACACGTTTCTTTAATAAATTTTCCTTAAAATCCTAAATTACGACATGCATTGGGTAATCTATATTCTCACTATCGAAATATTATCATATCGAATATTATTATAAATAAATATAATAAAAAATATATCGACAATACTATCGAGAAAAAAAGGAAAAAAAGAAAGAAAAAAAAAAAAGACTCGAAGCTCCTTAAAATTAGGGATTATTTTTGCTTCTCTCAAAACTTCCGATCTTGGCCAATAAACTTGCTTTTTAATATTAGCATTTACCCGTGAGTGCATAACTATTTTATTAAATAACTTTTACAATTATTAAACAATATTTTCATTAAATGACTCTATTTTATTGCATTTATTGCACAATCGAAAATTACCGTTCGTTTCTTGAGATAAAAATTGAATAAATAAGAATAAATTGAATGAAACTGAACGAGTGTAGGAAATTTCGTTAGATAAGTTTTTAAAATATATTTCCAATATTTAGGGAAATTACTTTCCAAGTGAAATAATTCACGTATATTATTTCAATGGCATAGGAGGTCAATTTAACGTAATTCACGATTAAATTGAATTCGCGCACAATTGGAAAATTGCGGTAAATTGAAGCCTGTTCGCGAAATAGCAACGATCAAACATAACCGTATGAATTATTAATTGATTTAATGGATGTGTTATTTCATTTATTTCTCTGCTGCGAGAGTGAATAAGTTATGCGAGCGATAGTCAATAATCCGGCAATTAATTGATTTTTAATATAAAAATAATTTTCGTTTACTATAAAAACTTTAGGTGCGTTTTAGTCGTTGGGGCGCGCGAATTTAAATACCCATTAAAGAGCAATTTAATTCCTTGGCTTCTTATCAATTATTAAGATTTACAACGGCAAATGCAGGTAATCGCATGTCGAAGCTGTCAAAGGACACCTTCGCGCATATTCTAATGAGGCGCATCCATCTATCCTCGAACGCTATTCGCTCGATGGAGGACGAGACTTTTCGTGGCCTCGAGGACTGCCTCGAGTATCTCAATCTCGAGAACAACGAGCTAGCGATCCTGCCCGCCGCCGTCAGCTCCCTGAAGAAAATATCCTACCTCTACCTGGCGAACAATGCCATGCGCCATCTGTCGAACGACAGTTTCGCCGAGTTCGATAAGAATCTGAAAGCTCTGTCGCTCGCAGCCAATGGTTTCGATCACGTTCCTGTTAATGCCCTCACCGGCTGCTCCAATTTGCTGCATCTCAACCTCGGCTACAACAAGATCAACAGAGTGGAGTCGGGCAACTTTGACTGGGCCGACAATCTCGAGATTCTCTTGCTCAGGAATAACGTGCTCACGCAGCTCAAACCCTACACCTTTCGAGGTTGGATACGCATGTTTTATCGTACCGTTACTGTTTCTTATACGTTTGATTGTCCCCAACTCTCATAATGACGAACAATACGAGCGTTTCATTCTTTAATCCTCCCTTTAATTCTCTCTCTCCCCATCACCATCCCCATCCCCATTCCCCGCAATAGAAATCATAATGGAAATCAAAATCAATGTAACAATTGCATTCGAAGCTGCTAAATTCCAATTGCGAATAAGCATTAGAAAAGTCACTTTTAACGCCCGTGCGCGAGAGAGAGATGCCTAAGTTAAATCGCGCATTTTTATACGCAATTAATTGCATGATGTGAGCGCGCATCGATAAAGAATTGCGCCAACGCGAAACTGATGATGATGACGACAAGGATAGGAGCGAGCAGACTGAAGGAGCTGAGCATCTCGTTCAATCATCTGGCCGATATCGCGGACGAGGCCTTCGGCGGCTTGGAGAACAGCCTCGAGATCCTGGAGTTGAGCTTCGCATTCTCCACCGATGTCTTCCCACAGCGAGCGCTACGGCCCCTCGTTAACCTCTTGTGGCTAGTCCTCGACAACAACAACTTCCACACGATCGAGACGACGTCCTTCTATTCCTTCCAGCAGCTGCGCTACATTAATCTCGAGTCGAATAGGCTCCATTACCTGCCCGAGCGCATCTTCCTCGCCGAGGTGCACGAGGAGCTGCGGGACGTTAAGCTCGGCTTCAACTTCCTCGAGGCCATACCCGAGAGCACCTTTCACAATCTGACGGAGCTCAGGGCCCTCGACCTTACAGGGAACAAGATCAGGATGCTGGACGTCGATTCGATTAAGGACTGCCCGAAGCTCGTCACGGTCTCGCTCGCCAACAATAGGATATCGTCGATCGATCGCTACGCCCTCAGCGGACTCTACGGTCTAAGATTTCTGCACCTCGAGTTCAACAAGCTCACTCGCCTGAACTTCGAGGCGTTCGCTGACAGGTGGGGATAATCGTACTTTTACCCATTATCGCGCTTTAAACGTAATTAAACACATTCTCACGACGATCCCTCCTATCTCTCAATCTATTCTTTCTTCTTCTTCTTCTTCTTCTTCTTCTTCTTCTTCTTCTTCTTTTCTTCATTTTTATTATAATTGATTCTATCGCAGGACAATTATGGAAAAATAACAAAAAATTACAGTTCTATTTATTGTCTACCATTATTACAATAGAGTGCGAGACAATACGTATGTTTGCTTGCAAATGATGAAAATGCAAACGCTAGAGTTTTGACATTTAAAGAACGAAAATTTTAACTTGGTTTTCAAATTCATAATTAGCCGAATTAATATTATTCATCAAATAATCAATTAAATGTCATTTATTTATTTCTACATATGTTGGATGTGTAATTAGTGTGGTGCTTGTTTACAGTGGCGGTAACGATTTCACCGTAAATGTCTCCTACAATTCGATTTCAACATTGAATCCAAGCGTCGCAGTGATAAATTTAACACGACTTGATTTGGGCTTTAATAATATTTCCCATCTTTCTGCCGATGCTTTTATCAATACACCAAACTTAAAGACCATAAATTTACAAAGTAACGTCTTAACAACGATCGAACCAGGTAAACCCTACGATTAACGTTCTTTGGTAAATTTAGCAAAAGATTAATCAACATTCATTACATTACCGTTTCAACAATTATTTACTTTTTCTTTTTTTACTCTTTTGTCAACTGTCTGTTGCTTTTTGTTTTTTGTCTTGTGTTTTTAATGCTTCTGTCCTTTTGTGATTACCCGAAATGGCAATCTGCTGGGGTCGCGCGAAGGGACCTTCTCGCTGGCGAGCCTCGAGACATTGAAATTGCCGGACAATCGCATCGAGTCGCTACGTAAGCAGAGCTTCAACGGCCTCGAGACGCTTCAGCAACTCGATCTCTCCGGCAATATACTCGCGCAATTGACCAACGAGCAGTTCCGACATTTGCGAAGCCTCAGGGTGCTGAATTTGTCGCGCAATCGTCTGAGGTCCCTGACTCGCGACGTCTTCACTGGCACGCGATTGGAAATCCTCGATCTCAGTCGCAATAAATTTACTGTCGTGCCGTCCGCACCTTTCCTCGACGTGGGCTACACTCTACGGTAAGTCGTATCTTTAATCCCCAATCGGATTTACAGTCGTACCAACGACGATAGCTGTCGACACTACATTGTCAACATAGTTTGCTCGGCTGGATGTTATTTTTAAGCAAGCTTTGATCGATTTAAATCAATCGGTAATCGGGTTAACGGTGCTTTTGTTCGACAAGTGATAGAGCGGCGACAGCCTCCCTAGAGATGATAAAGCTGATCCATTGGATAATAGTGTCGAAGCAACTGGATTCCAATTTTATGCGTGAGATTCGTTGCGTCGATAGAGGCGATCGTTGATATTTATATGAACGTAGTAGTGCAAGCGCCCTCCTCGGGATGACGATAAGCCGATCGTTCGTGAAAGTCTTGCACGATCGCGCGAGCAACAATGCACCACAATGATATTGTCGCTCAGCATTTATTATTGCTATTAATAAGTTGATGGATGGATGGATGGATGCGGGTGTGGGATTGGTTGGTTGATTGGTTGGTTGGTTGGTTGGTTGGTTGGTTGGTTGGTTGTTGGAGAAATTAAACGAATCATTATCACTTTTAGAAACATCGATCTATCGGATAACTTTATCGATCACCTCGATTCCACGTCCTTTCCGACATCGCAGCTGACGTCATTGAATCTCGCAAGCAATCGCGTGCAAATTTTGCCAGACAACTCGTTCGTATCGCTGGCGAAACTCCTCGTGCTAAACATTTCGCAGAATCATTTACGGGCAAACTTCAAGGAGGTCTTCCATTACCTTCCCGACCTAAGGACAGTTAGCTTGGCCAACTGCGACTTCAGGACTATTCCCCACTTGCAGCTGGCATCCCTCAACTATTTAGATTTATCACACAATGACATTGAGATTTTAAGAGAGAACGAATTGCAGAACTTCCATACCCTTAAAGTCCTTTTATTGGCCAACAATTCGCTCAGTACGATAAGTGGATTGAAATTGAGTTTACTACGGGAACTGGATATCTCGGGAAACCCAATTAAGGTAATTTTACTTTGTAGGAAAAGTGGTTAAAATTATATCGCATTTCATTCGTATGTTTTAAGTCACGCGAACGTACGCGTTACCCGTGATATTATGAAATATTTACACGTAATTCTTTTAATTCGGACATTCCACGAGCTATTCGATATGCGTATCACAAGTACAACATTTTACCGCTAATCGTTAAATTCCCTACAAGAGCAACCTAGCATTGAGCTTTTTCATCCAATGCTCATTATTATAATAATATTACATACGCGGTAACAACAATTACAACTGCGATGGTTAATAAATATCGTGCAAATCGTGTTATCGCGCCACTCTACAAATACGATGTACCGCGATGTATTGCGATTAATTGGCATTATTGCTCTAATTTCTATTAGTCGCGCAAATCGTGTTATCGCGAGAAATTCATCGAGAGACGAGAGAATATGAAACACCGTGAATTTCATGATGAATAATTGATGAATAATTTTGGCAAAGGGAACGTTTATCTCGAATTCTCGAGGCATTGTATCTGATTTTATCGAGATCAGATCAGACGGATTAATTATTTAAGCTCCTAATCGTCATCGACATCGCCCACGATCTTGTATGCATAGATGCATAGATCATCTCAAAAATATTCTCACCTCGCTCATGCAGCCTTATTATTTATATGATAATAAAGCACGCCAAGCGCAACACTTTTATCCAAGTTTGAAAGTTTGAAAAATTAGAATATAATGGGAGCGCTTGTCGCAAGGGCAGGAATTATCGTGGGACACGTTCGCCGGATACCCCCGTTTGGAGAAGCTCAACATCCGCGACCTGAATTTCACGTACGCGGTCGACAAGCACTGCCTGCGCCCTCTACGCTACCTCAAGTACCTCGGCATGCAGACCTGGCCGAGCCTCGACAATTGAACGGACTGCCGTTGCGCTTCGTCGAGATCCAGGTAATGGAGCAACGGCTGACCGATCAGCTGCATCGTGCCTTCACCAAGCAACTGAAGGAGCTCAGCATCACCGGCCGGAATCTCCGCTACATCGGGGCGGACGCGTTCGCGACTATCGAGGGCGCGGAGCTCGTGCTCAGGATCAGGGACACCCAGGTCCAGAGGTTCCAGTCCGACATCTTCCTCTCGCTCACCAAGCACATGTCGCAGCTCACGCTCGATCTCAGGAACAATCACATCAACGAGCTCAGCCCATCGGTCATTTACGGCAACCTGTCGTGGGAGGCCGTTGGCACAAACATGGTTTCAGGTGAGCGACCTGAATGTGTCTACTCGGCTCTACCTGTCCATGCATTTCGCTCCTCTCCTCTTACCCGCGTCACGCGCATTAACATCTTTCGCCACGATAATACGGCAATACAATTACACACGTCCGACAATTACACCTCCGGCAATCACTTTTTCCACTGCTAAGAACATTTATAGATAGCGATAAGGTACGCGGCACAAGCACAAGCCTTTACCATATTCAAACAAATCGCAATACAATAATGGATACTAATGATAATGCGCTTTTGCATTATCGCGTGATTGATCGAGATTGGCGAGGCTGTAGTTGCGTCGATTATCCTAACGCATCGAGCCATTTACGGCCAAAAATCAGTGTCAAGGTAATAAAAAACAAAATATAATATAAAATTATATGCTTTTATTTGTTAAGAATATTAATTTTATTTAGCGTATTAGGTAAATATTTCTTCTGCGCACGTATGGCGAAAGGCTCGTGTATTTTTAATAATACTGATAATAAACGTCAAATGCATTAAAGGATTTATTTATACATTCATTAATATAATTGTTTTTTTTTTGTTTTTTTTTTAATTTTTTTTTATTATTTTTGTTTTTGTTTTTGTTGATGTTTTTGTTTTTAAGCATACAAAGACATTGAATTGGAAATAAAATTCAAGCCACAAAATTTCGAATTATTACATGGGACAATTTTGATTTATTTTTCTTAAAAATATTTATTAAAATAGTAAAAATTCATTAAAATATATATATATATATATATATATATATATATATATATATATATATATATATATATATAATAGCAAAAGCCAATGTTTATTGGCTCTTATTATATGCATTATTAATTGTTAATATATGCAATTGATAAGATAAGAGTGATGAAATATCGTAAAAGTGATTTTTATATTTGAAATGAATTTAGTTAAATGTAAAATGTTACTTCATGTACAAATGTTTTATTCCAAAATATTTTATGCTTGATCCTTTTACAAAGCTTTCTTTCTATCTTTCTACGATATAATAAAAAGTGTCGCTTTTAGAACATTCATTAGTAATTTTACGTACTTATTCGATACGCTTCGTTATATTTTACAGTACTAATGAACTATCATACAGGTAACGCAGATTTAGTTTACATATTAAAAATGGACACTCAAATGTCCGTTAAAAATATCATCGCCAATTAATGTAATTTATCTTAAGTGTCTACATTAGCGAAAAGAATCTGATACTTTCGTCATAAGCTTATTACGTAATCATTAAATATGTAATTAACCAATGGTCACGTAATTAACTTTTCGAGTAATTAATTGCGATCGGTAATATCAGAGATTAACTATTAAACATTTTACAAATTGAAATCTTAATGATGGATTTGCATTTCGACCTATTTCATTAAACGATTAAAAAAAAAAAAAAAAAAAAAAAAAAAAAAAAAGAAAAAACCCTTACAAATCATAATCTATGCAACCGTATAAATATTTACTTTTAACATATTTTACGTATTTTGATAACAACTTTTATATCGATAAAAATCTTCCGACGAGCTTCCGAAAAATCCGAATCTCAGGACATTATTATGAAATCATATATTAATTTATACGGGTCGCAATTTAATTAATGACATTACGCATGTCGCTCAATTACATCACCAAACTCCTCATCTCTTCGTAGAGCTAAAGCAGAAATTCTAGTATTTACGATCGCTCTTGCGTTGCTTAAAATTTTACAATATTTTTCACACCCACGAGAAAAGCACGTACGTTTTCTAATAACAACGAGCGTGTATTCGCGCGCACCCATAAGTAAATACCAATAAAGTGTTTTTGAATTATTTTTGAAAGTACCATATGTATTAACGTTTAATCGACTTTCATAATCGCCGTTACAATTATTATTTTTTTATTCGATCGTTAAAAAAATCTTCTTACATCTCCATCCAATGGTAATTCGTTTTCAATCAAAATGTCGTCGTTTACATTTACGAGCAATCGATAAGCCACACTGTGGTCTGCCCAAAAACCAACTTATTCATTCCCGTTACGTGGAACTTTCAAAGAGGCTCGGTATGCAATTTTCCCCCAATACGCTCCAATCGCGAATCTCGTCATTGCCTCGCAAACGGAGAAAACAACAACGATAATCTACGATCGGCACTCCACGATCGCTCCCAACAAACATCTGGCTAGAAACAATTTCGCGAGATCCGCAACCGCCGCTGCCACTTCCCGCCATCACCCACGAGTCTCAATATCTTTCACAGGTGGACTGCAGCTCTCGGGCAATCCTCTGGAGTGCGACTGCGAGATCGCGTGGCTTTCGCTATGGCTACGTAGATGGCTCCGCGAGTCCCGGCAGATCCACACGGCCTCGCAATCGGATGCCCGGCAACTGCGGACGATCGCCGGTCGCGCCGTCTGTACCGAGACGACGCAGCTCTACTCCTCCGACCGAGCGCTTCTTAATCTCGGGGCGCCCAACACCGCCTGCCAGGCCTCGGCCCTCAGTAGCGGCCCCGGGCCCCAGGAAACCGCGCCGGCCCTCGCTGCCGTTGGATTTCTGCTGATCGTCGCCCGGTAGCTTCGCTTCTCCTCGCCCCATCCCATCCAGCTCCAGCCCGTGGAGCGTAAGTTTACCTGCGCGATCACGCGATCCGCATCTAGTTTCTCATCTATTTATCTTATCATTTCATTTCTCATCTAGTTACTACAGTAGCCGCCATCCGCTCTCACCCCCCCCCCCAAAATCCTCCCAATCCCCTTCGCCACCCATCCATCCCGTCTCTTCCCAGCTCTTCTCGGCTCTCGTGGAGACTTCGAGCAGCACCGAACCAATAGCGCAGAATTTTTTTTTTTTTTTTTTTTTTTTTGGAGCTCTAGCTTTAATTTAATTCGGCTGACCAGAAGTAAAAAAAAAAAAGAAAAAAAGAAGAAAATATAAAGCATCCATTTCCGTTAATTGAAATATCATTTCATTTTATCATACGACGTTTTTTCAAAGCGCGTCCATTAAAAGCTCGCAAAAGCCCGTGAGTACTCTTTTAACGTTAGATCGTATTATAAAGGAAATTTGGAGATAAAGAGAATGATGAAGTTGAGAATAATCGAGTTAGCGTATAAGCGATTTATTGATCGTCGATCGAGTGAATGCGACGCTCTCGATCGAATTGTCGTATTTTGTTCAGTTCGTCATAAATCAGCCCCCGTCTCGCGCCCCTACCTCGCCTTATCAATTATCTATATAAAGTTTGTTTAGCTCAATAAATACATAAAGTCGCGCAACCCTCATAAACATACAGGATTGAAGTTATTAATATCGCTCGCTCGCTAGCTCGCTCGTTCGCTCGTTCGCTCGTTATATAAGTATAAGAGACAACGAAGAATTGTCAATGCCATGCCACACGATATTCGACGGGCTACATAATCTTTTGGCTTCGCCGCCCATCTCGATCGGAAAGATCCGGTGCGCCCAAATCGTCGGACGAGGGATGGTAATTGTTGACGGTGTTGAGAGTGAGTTATGGTGGTGGTGGTGTTGAGTAGGTGATGGCGGTGGTGATGGTGGTCGTGAGGCGGCTCTTCCCGATGGTGAGCCGTGCGATTGTCCGACGCAGGCATCGGGGGATTTAATAATTCGGGGGTCGATCAGACGGGAGGTGCCTGCGTGTGCTGCAAACAGCCCTCGACGTTCTCCGGCCAGTCGCAGACGTTCTCGTTGGGGTTGAAGACGAGGTTCACCGGACAGGGCATGTGGTGCTTCCGCTCGCCCTCGCACATATAGTACATCGTGCAGTCGTTTTTGTCCGGGTGGTAGGAGATGTGATTGTCCTCCTCCTCGCAGGTCACTTCGTTGGCTACGAACGATAAGATATCGGCACATGACCGTCGTGATCTTAATCCCCCCCCCAACCACCCACCCACCCCATTTGCGCTCATCAATTGTGAGAGGCGCCGTTTTCCCTGGACTTTACACTTGTTTCATAATAATTTCGTAGTACAAACAAGTCGTTAGATGCAACCTAATTATTTAGGTTTAAAGGGACTTTTAGATTGTAGAACCGATAACGTTTAAATAATCATTGCATTAAGGTAGCTCAACTACGTTTCAATAATGCTGCTTATATCGGACTAAAATATCGGATTTTCACTATTTAACACAATGGTTGCTTATTTCCTCGGCTTTAATTCAATTAATAGTTTATTTATGCGTTTGTAAAAAATAAAAGTTCGTGTGATCTGAGTTGTCCTTACTTTTTATAACATATTGAGAATTAATGAATTTTTAATGTTGCGAAATTGTAAGCAGATATGAAAATATTTTTTACTTATCCGACGTCAGAAGATAATTTATAATATATATATATATATATATATATATGTGTGTGGTTTTTCTACATGGTTATTCGTTTATGGAATTCAACTAAACGCGCGAATTAAAAATGACGCCTGTAACGAAAAGCAATTAAATTTACAAATAATTGTGTACAAATAATTGTGTAAGCGAATGAAAATTTCATTTTTAAATTATGCGAGACCTTCACTTCTTTGGCATTGTTAATTGCTGTAGAATAGATAAGTTTACAATTAATTCAGCCAACCGATTCAGTATTACAAGCATTAAATAATTATTGTTACGTTATTATAATAATTATTCGATTAATATCCAGAAGCTATGGAATCTGTCTTTATTAAAGCTTTTCCTCATTAAAGTAAAAGAGTTTGGTTTTTTGTTTTCAAAAAGTAATATTATAATTGCATAACATTTTCATATTTTTTAGCGTTGTGGCGCAAAAATGGCCAATGAATGATATATGCAATTAACTCAAAAGCAAACGAAAAATTTGTAAATAGAATTCATTATGATTTCCAATCCGAATCGACATTATTAAACAACAATGTTTTTGAAATTTATGCTTTGTATATAATTGTTACATCCGATATATTTTTTTATGATTAAATTAATGAATTTTATGATACATATATTTAGAGGAATAGAAAGAAAAAAAAAAATAATGCAAATTTATTTATTTGCTCAATAGTTAATGGTTTTTGTAAACTGCGATTTAAATTATATTCCGTGCGATGACAGTTTGTTGGAAAAATAAAAATTTAATACAAACTATTTATATTTCTTATAGGCATTTTTTATAAACTAAATTTCTTCTTATCAAGCATGTTTTTACTATTCCGCACATCTACGTTTCAATATTCTTTAAATTTAAATTAACGAAAACAATTAAATGCATTTACTAAAGATAAGCAAAATGACAGGTTATCCGAGTCTGTAATAAATATTTGAAAAATCGATCGATCTTCTCTATTAGTATGTACGCTGTATTTTAATAAACTAATATTTTTAATATATAACTATTATCTTATCAACATGATATATATCATCAATATATATATATATATATCCCAAAGTTTTCCGCTGTTAAATTAGTTAATAAAAACAGAAAGAAAGGAATAATGTAAATAATTGGATGACTCACGATCCTTAGTGGTATATTTTCCACCGCGTATGTTATTCTCATATGGTCCTTCAAACTCGAGTTTAACCTCATAATTTTGTAGCTCCTTCTTCATGGCCTTGATCAGTGGGAATTTACTGTTACCACAGGATCCTCGGAAGTCATCCATATCTACCGACCATATCATGATACCTCCAAATCCTTCTTCCTTAAGCCAATTCATCTGCCAAAATATATTGTTAGTTACTAATTATAAGGCTTTTATAATAATGTATTTTCACGAACTATTCCTTCTGACACGTGAACGCTAATAACAATTTGTTAACTTAATAGTAACAATATTTGTTAATTTACTTGTATTTTTAGACGAAATAAATTACGAAATTTTAATTAAGTAGCTTTGATATTCAAGGAGAAGACATCGAGCATTATGAACTCTTCAAAATATGCAATTAACGTCCAATATAATGATGTTGTAATTTACTTACCTTATTAACGAGACTCCTCTCATCGTCAAAACCAACCCATTGATCATCTCTATAGGCAAATGGTACTTGCTGTTCACTGTCCCATACTAATGTTGTATTATCCTCGTTAAGAAAACTGCAAACCTATAATGAAAAAAATGTTTAATCTTCGTAATTAATGTTTTAATGAAGAGAGTAAGCAAGAGTACGACGATTATTATTTAAACCTGCAATTTCACGTAACTTTGACATTATATGGAAAGTATAACGTATACGTAAAAACGTAATACATCTCAATAAAAAAAAAAAAAAAAAAAAAAAAAAAAAAAAAAAAATAATAGTTAATACGTCAATTAAACAGCAAGGATAATTCGTTAAGATTCAATTGTTCCTTAAAATAATGTAACAAATTGGACTCAGCATTTTCATAATCGTAATTATAAAATTATAGATTATTTTGAGTGGGTAATTATTATAATCCTACTTTGTACAATTGTATATTATTACTGAGCCAATAGAGAAAAAAAAATAATCAAAGTTAAAAAGCGTTGCTTAAAAGAAAAAACCGCAAAATTTCAAGTCCAAAAAATACCGCAAAGATAATATTGTATTGAAGAAAAAGAAAGACGAAAAGAAAAAGAAAAATGAAATAAAATAATGGAGAAAGTGATGATGCTACGGATTAAATTGTTCATGTCATACAAGCGTGTAAGATAATGATAAGAGGATGAAAAGATGGGTGCGCGTGCGAATGTGTAAAGCAAAGTGCATGGAAGAAGAAAAAAAAAAGAAGAAAAAAAGAAAAGAAATTGTAAAAATAAAGTTTGTGGGTAGGGCGCTGTGTAACGTAGTGTCAGAGAGATATCAATGACAACTTGAGCAGTTGTCTTTTAATTACCTCGTAGTAGGAAAGGAAACCAGGCTCGTTAGTGAAATTTCCGGCTGAGCCGCCACCGGAAGCCGGTGCACCAATATCGAACTTGGCCTTATCGACGAGAGTGAACGATCTCCCGTACGGCGGCATTCCGATCATGAGCTTCTCCTCATGCGCACTGTAATCCTGTAAATTTACATTTTCCCGCTTTCATGCCTCTGTATATTTGCACAGTCGCGAATTACTTTTAATGCCCTTCAAATGCATTTATGAGTGAGTCTTTCTTGATGGGATTTGCATGGTAGGAGAGGCAGAGAAAGAAGAATCGTTATTCAACGTATGATGCATATAAAGTACCTAGTGAGTTTCACAGAATTTGCATCAACTTCTTAAACATAATGGATAATACGAATGCGTTATAAATTATTTAAAAGTAGGCAATTATTACATAATAGTTGATGTATGAGAGAGAGCCGTAAAGTCATAGAATACCGGAGTAACGTACGAGTGATTGCCGACTTATAGCTTTATTATTAATTATTGAAATTGCTCACAATAATGTTTGTTAGGATTTTATAACCTAGGAGCAGACATTTGACGGGGATTAAAAGTGTTTTAGTAGAAAGCTAATCGCTTATTATCGTATCGAGTGGAATATTTACGATACTTTGATTAACGTTACGACATGCATGGCCTCTAGAGGTAAGACGAAGACAATTTCTTCTTAGCCATATAATTTCTTAAGAACGTGACATACTTTGATTTTCGGATAAGCCACAAAGTCAGCGATAATGATAATTTTACAGTTGGAGAAAAGGGAGAGAGAGAGAGAGAGAGAGAAAAGAAAAAAGAAAAAATTTAACGAGAGCCGTAAATCAGCCGATTTTAATCTGACAATTTTTTACGCGAATTAAATGGCGAGCCTCTCTTTTTTTTCCTTCTTCTACTTCTTCGTCATCTTCTTCTTCTCTCGTTATTTTTTGTCAATCGGAGAAAACGCTTACCACGGTGAGTTTCTTTTGGTAACTAGTAGCACTTTCTAGAGGGAATAGGGGACTGTTGTGCCCGACTTGCCTCTCCCATTGTCCGTGAAAGTCGTAAGTCATGACATTTATAAAGTCCAAGTATTTAGAAATCTCGGGTACGTCATATCTAGAAGAAAGAAAAAAAAAAGAAAAAAAAAACAACAACAACAAATAAAATAGGCACATTTACATTAAATATAAATTAAATCGATGAACGAACAACGTGGACCATTACGGATATTATTTTTTCCTTTATATCGTCCTTTATATCGCTTATACGATGCATTAATCTCACCATTTAGACACGATCTCATTTAACAGGTTATTAGAAATAATCTAAGCTTGTTTGCCAACCCAACGATATTATATTAATGACGATGATAAAACATACGTCTGTCACTCACGTGCTCGACGTTTAATAATTTAATGTCCCCCAATCTCCCTCTATTTTTCTTTTTAGGTGTTATATCAAATGTCCGATGGAGTTAAATTTTAATTAAAAATGAGGAAGAAACAGTTTAACAATTTCACTTACCCGGCAGCGATAGCTTCGAAGCTGGCGGGAACGGCTGCCGAAAGTATGAGCTTTGGCTGACCTGCGCTCTTCGCTTCACCTTCGAAAGCTACGCGAAGCTCTTTCAGAAGATTGACGTAAGCCGCGCGATCGTCCGCACCTCTGGAAAACAATAACGATGCTCAGTCGTTATTATAATAGATATTTTATTTCTCATAGTATTTATTAAATAAAGAAAAATGCGAATGAAAAGCAAATATTGCAACGTGACATTCGCTAAGAGTACGAGCAACAAACAGCAAAGCGCCTGTCGGATACACAAACGATGGGGTATAAACAAAAATGAGCAAAGTTAAAATTACCGTGGGTATTCCCAATCAACGTCGAGGCCGTCGAATTTGTATTCACGAAGGAAGTCGATGGCTTGGTATACGAATTGGTTCATTCGGAATGTATTGCTCGTCAGTTCTTTAAACGGTGTCGAGCCAAAAGCCCATCCGCCAATAGCCAGAAGAATCTAGTAACGAATAAAATAAGTCGGTCATATAACATTTATAATAAGAGATATTTCTCCCAGCGCAGGGATTGTTGGTTCCGTGATATATATATATATATATATACAAAATTTTTGCAATCACCTACGCTAAATTCACTAAATGTACGCATTGGATAGAAATAATTTAGAAATTCGCGCCTAGAAATTAATCAATCGCCTGATTCTCTAATGGATATAATAAAATATTTTATTATTGACTTAAATTACAATTACTTAATGACGAAAAAAAAATATATAATTTTAATTGAATATATATATATATATATATACATATATATTTTTTTTTCATCTCAGCCTATTAATCTCTCCGGGTATAATCAATTTCTATTTATCGATAATTAAATTAATCGAAATGCTAAATAAAATATCGTTCCTAATTATATATGTATGTAGTTGAAAAAAATGTAGTAGTAAAGAGATAATGATAATTCTAAGAATTGAGAGAGATTGGGAGAGAGAGATTGGGAGAGAGAGAGAGAGAGAGAGAGAGAGAGAGAGAGAGATATCAGGTAATCATAGCTGGTGTAATAATAATAGACACGTATATGTATGAAATATATAGGAGTGAAAAGTTTTGACACACTTCTAATACTCACACCACTCAAAGCACATATTACCGTGTCATTTATCAACTGCAATTTTGAGCTTTCTCTTAATGTAAATTGGTCGAATTATTATTTTAAATGTATATAGCACTCGAGCGTCATTATTTTTAATATAATATAAGAAAATTTACTTATTTATCTACGTAGCTCCTTACACAAGCTCACACACATACGTCTGAATATTGAATATCGAATGTTACCTTTATGTCAGGATTCTTTTCACGCAGTGCAATTAATCTCTCGTACATCTCAGCATCCTTTTCACTACTCTCGGATAATAAATGATTCTTTAACGTGGCAAAGGCATAAATTACGTGAGTGCAAAGAAAGGCGTCGATGTCTTCGGGCATGAATTTGCCAGTATTAGGCCTCTTGTGCGACCAATTTGTCAAATAACAAATCGTTTGTGGTTCTCGGCCTGCAAAAAAGGAAAAAAAAAAAAAGGAAAAAAAAAAAGAAAAAAAAAAGGAGAGAAAAAAAACGAACGAGTGAAAAAGAGTTTGGAGAATTTTGACAATTGTAATTGCTTATTATATATTGTAGGACAAATTACCAACTACCAGGGACTAGAGACTAATCGACATTATCCAACTTTTATCATCACCATTATCAACACCTCGATGTTCATACACCTATGTGTACGTATAGGTGAGAATATTTTGAATGTCGGCATTAAAATTATTCATTGTATTCGAGCAATACATTTTTTAACGCAAATACGCGACTTCGATTTAAATTTCATTTAATGCTCATTCCATAATAATTGAAGTAATTCGAGGCTCTTACTGAACAATGGGGAAGTTGTTGGTGGTGCAATGTCACGTGCTTATTGCGCTCGTTACAAACGCATCGTCAGTATTAATGATGCGCTCACGGTTTAGCGGGCAATTATTTTGCAGCCGAGCGCGTAACTAAACATTAGCCAATTGCCAATGAGGAAGGAACATTCGAGCAATTGGGCAGGTAAAGGCTGTAGTTAAAAAAGAAAGGAAACAGCAACGACGGTTAACATTGTCTTTAATGGTGTTGAGGAGGGTATGAACGCGGGATGATAATAATCGATTTGCCATCCTTTACGTTGATGGTCCATCCCAGTGGCGCGCGATCCCCATTCGTCGCGTTCACCAATTCTCTACGTCTCTCTCCAAATAAAAATCGCTAATCCTAATTGGCGAGGCTACTGCTCGCCTTTCTCGTTTCCCATTGCCTCGAGTTGCTCTCAAAAGCCGAGCTGGGGCACGAATGGGAAACGAAAAAGGTTTGGTAAAGGCTTACGCCTGGAGGTCGAGCTGATGGCGAGTTGGCTCGAGGGTTTGGCAACCTTCTTGGCCTTGTTGAGGACCTCCGAGACGGATATCTTGTAGGGCTCGGGCTTCTTCACGACGACCTCGGTAATCGTCGAGGCTACGGCGCTCCAATCGATGTCCTTGGCGTTGTTGCCCCGAGAGATGCCGCGGAGCTCCTCCCGCATCGCCCCGATAAGCGGATACCTGACGCCGCTCCCGCAAACCGTCCCGTTGAAGTCGTCCATGTCCACGGTCCACACCATGGCGCCTAAGGAAATTCAAGGTCATTCACAATCGTACTCCATCCCTCGCTTATCCTAATTAAGCTACGTACGTAAGCTACGCACGATAATAAGGGCGAGAGTGAGATAATATTGGGATGGGGTTGGGGTGGCTAGGGAGGGATTCGAATTCCGGTCAATGACTATCCGTGGCACGTTTAATCACAGATTAATGAACGGCCTTGGCCGAGGTACTTGTCATCATTGAAAAATAGTTTAAAATAGACTCTAATACGTTTTAATTTTCGTTTGAAATTCAGGTCGATAAATACATTTTTAACGAACTTCTTTAATTATGCAAACAAAATTGTCATTCAATGCAGGAAAAAGATGTTTTATACGCGTTACAGAGTCTGAATTTCTAATTGTACGTATATGTAATTGAAGTAGTTTTTGTGCGTGTTATATATAGGGGAAGTGTGAGGGATGGGGAGGGATGGGAGGGGAGGGGGGGGGGGAGATAGAAGAAATCGAATTACGAAAGACAAGTTTTTAAAAGAAACAATTTTTATGATTTGAATTCTCATGAAATTTGATTAGAATGTAATCATAGCGCTTTCATATTTAATTTACCACGTAGAATGAAAGACTGTGCGCGTTATAAAAAAAAAAACTCTATTTACCATTGAAAATGAAAGGATTTTATGTGTGCAATCTTGGGAATTCAGATAACATTACTAAATTAATGTAATTTCCCTCTAAATAACAAAGCGTGCGAGCAAAACTTTCGCTAGACTAGAAAACTAGAAAGATAATGCAGTGAGTGAAGAAGTGTGCAGGTAAATGAAGTTCCAAGGAAAATTCACGGTGCATTTGGGCATTGTTTTGAATAAAACAAAAAAAAAACAAAAACAAAAAAACAAAAAAAAAAACAAAAAAAAAACAAAAAAAAAACAAAGAACAAAAAAATAAGAGAGAGAAGATAATGACAGAAACGAGGGAGAGAAAGTAGCGGTGAGAAATATACAGCTATAAATTAGAATTTGAATGATGATGACCGGGCTGGGGAAACTGGGCCTCAAAGTTTCTCAATCGTACTCTACCTCCGTAATGTTTGTCCTTAATCCAGCGCATCTTGTTCCTGATGGATCTCTCATCGTCGAAGCCGACCCACTGGTCGTGATGCACGAGGTATGGCACTTTCATCTCGTCGTCCCAAATGTAGGCGGCACCGTTCAGTAGCATCTCGCAGATCTAGCCGACATTTTCAAGTGCTTTAGTACTCGTCCTTAAAATGCAAAAATCCTCGCGCACCGTCATTATCCGAACCACTATCGTTTGCTTTTTCTACTCGCCCATTCGCTTCTTCTCACTTTGCTTTGCAAGAGAAATCTCTCTCTCTCTCTCTCTCTCTCTCTCTCTCTCTCTCTCTCTCTATGATAATAAACAAAATATCCGCGACTCTCTCTCTCTCTCTCTCTCTCTAAGTTAATAAACAAAATATCCGCGACAGTTAAAATTTTTAGGAAATAGGCTGTTGAGCGCGTAAATCGATCGTTTAATATTTTAAAAGCAAACTGTAAGAATTTGGGAAAACATTTGGCAATGTTAACGCTTCGTAATTGTAAGAATAATTGATGGCTCGTTAGTGTAATAACCCGTGATATTAGAGAAAATGGTGTAAAAAATGCCCGCCTAGTTCAAAGCGAAAATTAAAGAATCTGCATAAAGATAATATACGACTATTTGCTTTGGCATGAAGTTTTAGTCACGAAATTGCAAGCAAATTGCTGAATTTACTTAATAAAGCTTGCAATTCCCACTCGACGTCCCATTTTTTTCCAAATTCTATTTAATATTTAGGGCAATTATTTTTAAAGTTACATCCGCATCGATCAACGAATAACAACTACTTACACAAGCTGAAATACTTTTACCACAAATAATTATTATTATGTTTTTCTGTAAAAAAATAGCGTTAAAAAATTTAATTGGCCATTCTATTAAAGCGATTTCTCTCTATATATTACATTTACAGTATGATGGCCCAGTTATTAGAGTCAACCGTTATCGCGATAATAATTAGTCTTCTGATAACGGATAAACTACTCATACTCAATGTGTGTTTATATTATCCAGAGAAGACTGTGCATTTTCTAATAACCGCTATTCGATAATTAACTATAATTTTATAAAATAAATTCTAATCATTAGCGGCTAATGAAATTATGCCATACAGATAGATGAAAAATACGTGAAATATTACAACGTTATTTTCTGCATTAAAACTTACGACCGTGAGATAAAAATATGATATACATTTATCGATTTGATCTTGCATTATTATTTTACAATATTATTCTTTAAAATAATATGGCTTAATTACGCAACATGGAGAATAAAAAAAAAATCCTCGATACAATAACGAAAATTCATCTAATTATTGATAATATTTTGATAATAATATTTTATCTATGTTTGCCTTAATTAAATTGTCATATATATATATATATATATATATATATATATATATATATATATAGAGAGAGAGAGAGAGAGAGAGAGACGGAGAGAGAGAGCATTGAGTAATTTATAATAAAATTAATTTTCAATTAATTTATTTAACACGATCGTTAAATGTATGTATGAGCCAATCCGTAAGAAAAACGATATTACAAAAAATAAATTACCCTACTTTTCTAATTTATAAAAATATAAAAATTATTAAAAAGTTTCACTTTATCCACAATATTATAGGTAAATAACGGATGATAAATGAATCTAGTAATTTGAAAGAATTTTTCTCAACAAATTTGATCGCTATTACGATAATAAAAGTTTTATTAGCGTTAATTTGATTATTGCATTGCGCTTAATATTACATTTTAATTAAATAATCTAATAAGTTATTAAAATACGGATCGCGAACTTTAATCGAGGAAAATAAGACAAAAAGCGAAAACGCGAATTGATATTATCGCATTTAATAGATAGAATTTGTAAAGGTACAGAGAGTTTTTAATTATCTCGTAATATTAATACATCGTAACAAGATTTTAAATTAATATAATGTTAGGAGTATAATAGTGGCGGTAAATATTGAAATAAGTACGATCACTATAAATTATACTGTTTATTTTGAACATTTTGAAAATTACAGTATTTGTGAATTTATGTATTACCATTGGGTACATGCAAGTCATAAGACATATGAACACCATAACGTATGTAATTGCGGACAATCGGATACTCTGATAAATATGGATAAATTAAGAGATCGATTAAACATTAATCGATGATGTAAAAAATTGTTGGATGTGTCTTGGGAGTGAAGTAAAAAAATGTTTAGCAAGACGAATTTCGCATTAAGATTAAATGCCGTTGCCCACCATAATTGTTGCGAGTACATAAGAATTTGGTAAACCGAGGTACGATTGATAAATCGAGTCGATTAACGGTGTGAGTAACCTTCGAGGCAATTACTTACACAATAAAGCAGCATTATTTCGACCAACGGACGAGAGAAGGGAAGGAAGGACGAGGTGGGAGGAAACTTACCTCGTAATAGGCGAGGAAGCCAGATTCCTTGGTGTACTCGCCGGCTTTGCCGCCGCCGCTCGCTGGTGCGTGGACCTTGAAATTGGCCGGGTTCGAGAGCGTGAAGGAGCGGCCGTAGGTCGGCATGCCGATGATCATCTTCTCCTTGGGCGCGCCCAGTCTCACCCATATCGAGGCCGCGTTATCGACGCTCAGCTGCTTTTGCCACTCGGAGTCCAAGGACGAGGCGTAGAGCGGCGCATTGTGTCCGGTCTCCCTTTCCCACTTGCCGTGGAAGTCGTAGGCCATTAGATTTATGAAGTCCAGGTAACTGGAGCATTAATAAATCGAGGTACTTGTCGACGGAAATTGTTGGTCCGGCAATCGGGGCTCTACGTCTTCTTAATCCCAAGGCGTTTAACGGGACGATAATTAGACGATAGATAATTCATTCGTTATTCGCGTTGCCAAGCTTAAGGGATAGTCAACGCAAAGTTCATATTACGTGTACTTATCGGCCGTATATTCAGCAATGAGTTTATTAATTATGAATTGTATCGAGATAAAGTGTGTGTATATATATATATATATTGTGTGTGTGTGTGTGTGTGTGGGTGTGTGTGTGAACGGCGTGTTTCTAAATTCTTGCGAAATAAAAGAAAGAAAGAAACGTTTCATCGAGGCCGAAGCTCCGCTCGCTACACCTATTTCCCTCTCCTCCCCTTCCCAATCCCTCCCTCCCTCCCTCCCCCGCCCCATAAATCGGCCGCTTAAACAATTAACATCGCGAGGGAGTTAAAGTTAAGACGATCGGCGATAAATGCAAGACATTTCAATTTCAATCCAATTGCAGATTCATGAGAATTAATGTTTTACCTGGCAACAGCAGGTACGTCGTATCCACTTTTCACGTTATCCGGACCCACAGGTACGGCAGCCGTGAGCAAAAGTCGGGGCTTTTTACGCTCTTGCGCTTCTGCTTCAAACGCCTCGCGCAACTCTGCAAATGTCCAAGGAATATTCATCATCGATTCATTATCGGGACAGTCGTGCGCTTTTAAATAACCCTTCATAGAGTCCTTTTATGGCATGTAACGTAAGGAATGCCTGTTCGCTTGCTTTGGTAGGAATTTGTTCGTATTACATTGCGCAGCTCAACGACTTATTTCATCCTTCCAACTTATCCTTTTAATTAATTCGCTATTTTGCATTGCCCGTAAAATTAACATTACTTTACTTTCCCTTTAAGCGCAAAGTCTAACATTTTTAATGATAACTTATCGATCGGATACCATTTCTCCTTCAATTACTTACAATTTACTAAAAATCTTCATAACGTGCGATAGATAGACGAACTTTTATAAATAATCAAACTCATCGTTATAATGTTTTGTATTCGGTTGATTGTTATTGACAAGTGGAATGTCAATTATCTAATGTCGTTATTATTACACGTTTAAATAAAGTTATTATAGAAATTGTGGTAATGTTTATTTTAGTCGAATAAGAATAACTGTCGTTGGCATTTTCAAAATCAGACCTTGAAAAGGCCTCGTTGTCAAATAAATTAATTCATAAATAATCATAAAGTTTGTTATATCGTAATTCTTTATTTTCTTTTTTTTTTTTTTTTTACAATGAAAATCTAATAAAGTTTATTATTGCTAAATTACAATTATAATACACTTAGCGCGAATGTAATTTCTTGTATTTACTTAAAGTTTAATCTCATGGTATGTAAACTCTAGTGTAGTCTAATGTCTAGTTTAGCGAAATAAATAAAATTAACATTTCATACAGTTATGATTACGTTAAAAGCTTAGGGAATTAAAATAATAATTAAATATTAAATCATAAATTATCTATAATTTTCAGCCATACGTATATTTATAATAAATTTCTATCAAGCTTATTATTATTATTATTATTAAACTTCACTATTTTTTTTTTATGATCTTTATCCTATTACACGCACTCTATATATAAAAAGGTAATATAGGAAATGCGGTGGATATAAAATTTATCGAAGAAACCCTTCATAATAAAATTTCTATCCTATTAAATGAAATTTCCATTCTAATCAGCGCATGCTCACTGTAATTTATTCTATATTACTATTTAAAGATATTCTATTCGAAATGCGCCAGTAATCCCATTAATTTCTCATTCACGCATATGAAAATCCGTCTCATAACCATTTAAAAAACGTCGTGCCATCGTGGTTAATGGTAAAGTGAGACATAGCAAAGGCTACTTTGACAAGGCGATATTTTTCCTTCCTTTGCTCATTACTAAAACGACCATTGCCGACATACCTTTAAGTAATAAGACAAAGTTCTTTTTATCATCGCCACCCTTCGGATATTCCCAATCCATGTCCAGTCCATCGAAACCTCTCTCACGAAGATACGGTATGGCACTATAAATGAACGTCTGTCGTGCGTATCTTGTCGAAGATACTTCCTTGAACTTTTGCGTGCCAAATGACCATCCACCTAGAGTTATCGATAATTAATACACATCGTTTCTTACTATTTGCTTAATAAGATATAAGATAAGGCTTGGTTAACAAAAGAGAAAAAGATAATCGTTAATTATTTGCTTAAAGAGTGATGAATTTATGATTAAATTTGGAGAAATTTAGTTAGAATTTTTAGAATCCAGTAGCTTCAACATTGTTATTATGGCGAATTATTATAAGCCAGCAATTCTTACTTACCAATAGCGAGGAGAATTTTTAACGATGGATTGGCCTTTTTCAGTCCCACCATTCTCTCGTAAAGTCCAATTTTACCATCTTTTGTCTCGTCGTTCGATTCGAAACTCGTCAATTTATTTTTTTTCAGCCAGCCAAAGGCGAATATAATGTGAGTGCATAGATCCGACTGTATATCTTCCGGGGTAAATTTGCCGAGTTTTGTACGATACTGCGACCAGTTTGTATAATAACAAACGATCTAAAAAAAAAAAAAAAAAAAAAAAAAATACGTACCTTTAAGAAAATTGACAATTACAGTATAACATTGAATGAAGACTTACCATATCGTTGGAAAATTTATTTTATGGAAACAATGTTCCGTTTTCTTTTTTATCTATTTATTAATTTTTTTTTTTTTTTTTTCTTTTTCTTTTCACAGAAAAAAATAACAATAAATTTTTATTATATTATAAGATACTAAATTATAAATAAAATAAAGTAAACCTTTAAATTCGCAATGTTATGATCAAGTTTTTAAATTTATATGTAACTTGCAATTTATATAAAATATTATATATTATCTATACGTACTTTTAAAAATAATAGCTTAAAATAATTGGTAAAATTAAATATAATTTAATAACTTTTGTATAACGATAGCATCTGTAAAATATAATTAGTATTTTATATTGTAAATGCAAATAAATATTCTAGATCGATACTATTAATTTAATGATAATGTATACGTATCCTAATTAGGTTCTAATTTATTTCACATCGTAGCCTAAATAAAATTATAATTATTATAATTATTTGACCGCGTTTCAAAATCAGAAATCATTAAATTATTAAGTTAATATTAAGAGAATTGAATTGCGGCTTTTGGAATGCAGATTAAAAAAAAGAAAAAAAAGAAAAAAAAAGTAAACTTCGAGCAACGACTGCTTATGTAAAATTGTTAAGAATCTAAAGAAATAAAAAAATTAATATTCAAAAAGAGAAATGCTATCGTTAGAAAGTAGACTCGAAATCGGTTCAACAAGATGGTACAAATAAAAACTTATAAAAGTTCGTATTATTACTACAAGGATAGAAAATTTTATTAATCAATAAGCAACGAAAAGATGTCTGTGTATGTGGATTCATATATCTGCTTATATATCTGCTTATTTGTTGTATGTGTTTTTTTGCAATTATTTTGCATAAATTCTAAGAAATCCGCGACTACTTGTTACCGCGATGATATCTTTTGCAGATATTTATTAATAATAGTTATTAATGCGTAATAATTCATCGACATTCTTAATGGATCGTAATGAAATCGTGAAATGAAATGCTAATTACTAGCATTTACTTCGTTCCCGATTACTCTAGCATTAATTATTTTTATCACAACTGCGCCTTGGCGATTCATGCAAGCATCCTCAAAGCCTTGCTTATGATTTTCCATAGAAAGCATTGATTATGCACTTTCATGCTAATACATTCACACGGCTTAAGCCTCGATAGCGCAAATATCGAAGAGTGCGATAAAAAGCGAAATAATACGAGCTTCCTTGCATCGCGCGCGTTTCAAAGTGAAAGCACGAGTTATTACCGGCATATACGACGGCTACCCATGAATATTATCGATACAATATCCATTTAGATGGGCCATTTTCGAAATAAAAAATGCCATTTTTATTATCCAGTGCTACCGTCGTCGAGCATTTATAAAATATTCCCGCTGCTAAAACCTCGCGCATACAAGATAATATGAAAATATATGCAATCGATGAGCACTGGAACGAACAATTTTTTATTTCTCTTCTTCCTTATGTGTCGAGATATTTGCGGCTGTAACGTGCCCTTCATTATCTCATTGACTAATAATAACTAATAATGAACGATCGAAGTAAATTTAAAAGTTAAACGCAATGTGGCAGCTTGGGATTTATGATAAATAGTTGACGTTAGTATAGCATTTTCTTGAAATAATCAAATACTTGGAGCTTTTATGGTTATAGACTTGCCATTACATATTCATTGCAATCAAAAGCTACGAAATTCAAATTCGCATACCTTGGATTTCATTTATTGAACTAAACAAATAAGTATAAATAAACGAGCGGCTTTAACAACGATGTTTTCCTACACGTTAATATAATAAAGAAAAAACAAAAAAAAACAAAAAAAAAACAAAAAAAATAGCCCACTGTTTAAAAAAAAAAAAAACGATAAGCATAAACTATGAGCACCGAAAAAAAAAATGTGATTGTGAAAAAAAAACCGGCGATTTTCAAGAAGCGACTCTCTGCATTCCCACGTAATTTACTATTTTAATTAATGTTTTTGCCAAAGGGATTATTTTGTGATTAACGGCGTGTCTCACCTTATAGTCGTCCGTCGCTTTGCCAGGTGCAAGCTCGTTCTTCGTGCTTTTGTTGCCAATGCGATTGCGGGTCACTTTAAATCTATTTACACTAGCCGACACTTCCTGGTCATTGGAAAGCGAAGGTCTCGATGTCGTTGGTCTACGGAATCTCTTTCTTGTGCCTTTGTCGGGGAAAACAAAAAAATTTCTTTTTGATATATGTTTATTTTTTAACATTTGTCTGTTAGTCGAGGTTTCGTGAATAAACGTTAATTTGACGAATACATTTCAGGAAATAGGTAGCGAAAGCCGAAATTAAATCAACTCGCATCATTTAACGCTTGAATAATGTCGCTTAAGTAATCCGTTAATGGATAATTTATATCAATAAATTTACTTAAATATTTGGCGATAAAATTACGTGGATTAAAATTAAATGAACGATATCAGTCCATTGTTTTTTAATTAATAATCTACAAATTTCGATATATTTATAATGCATAAGTACAATCGTAATACGAATATTAAAAGCTTATTTATTTAATATGAATTTACTTTCAAACGAATATTATTCATTTAATCTTGCTGAGCCTCAAATATTGATTTAAGACATTAATTTTATAATTCCAGTGATTAATACTAATTCTAATTTCTTTATTTTTTTTATGTATAAACTAAGTTGTGTAATGAGATAATTTTATGGCGAGATCCTCTACAAGGTAAATTATTTATAAAAGTATAAATTATTTCAGCTTACGAAAGAAAATCCAACAACTTTAGCGACACGTAAGATTATAAATAAATGTATGATAAAAACGCTTGTCAAAGCAACTTATTCCACATTTTTTTTGTTAGTGCGTGAGTAAAAAATCTCATCACGAGTAAGTTTTTCATTAAAACTAGGATCAATATGCATGAAAAAGATCTGCTAGAAATTGTAAACTTTAATATTACTTTCAGACTTTTCTATAAAAGCTAAAGCACAAGCAAATGCATTTTAAGATAATCACGTATTTTTATACTAAAAGCACAAGCAAATGCATTTTAAGATAATCACGTATTTTTATAAATATATAATTAAAGGTTCATAATAATAATATAATTGATTAAGATTTCACCTTTATACGTATACGTATAATTAAATATTAAAACAAAAATAAAAAATTTAATCTTATGCTAAATATTATACGTCGATAAAGATATATAAAAATATATAAAAATAAATTAAAATATATTTTAGAATCGATCGATCAATTATCACAAATGCATTCATATATTAAATTGCAATCGTTGTTAAATTTTTCCAATAAGATACCATTAAATGTCATTTTAGACGAATTTCGTGTATCAAATAATTATTTTAGAATTACGAAGAATTACGTCGTTATAAATTTATGCATTAAAGACAGCGCGGAACGTTAAAAATAACGATTTAATCGAGAACTTTTAAAATAAATCGACGCATTCACATTTAATTAAGCAAAACGTAATAATTTATTTTTAAAATTCATAAATTTTAAGTAATAAAATGAATACGATCGATGAATAATAATGGCATAGACAACGTATAGATGACGTATAGACAATTTTTTCTTCTTTAATGTATTAATTAAAGAAGATGATTATGATTGCGCAAATTTGGATGTTTTCGTTCAAATTTAAACGACACGAATATCAATAAATGATTGCGACTGATTAAAATTCGCCAAATTTTGGCATAAATCGTCCAACAAGTAAAAACAAGGATTAATGTTATTATAATTGGGCACGTGGTGCATCAGTAATAAATATAAATTTAAAAGTAGAATGAGGCATCGCCGAAGGCAATAAATAAATAGTATTGGTATTATGATAATAGAAAAGCAGCGCAATTAAGTGCGAATGAAAAGGAAAGCCGTCGGGAATAAAGTTGGTGCATAAAACATGAGGGTGTATGGGTTGACAGAGAATTGGTGTGAGTAGGCTATGGTAAAATTCTCGGGGAGTTTTGGTAGATCGAAGAATCGTTTTTCCGCGAATTAATCGACAAGGGAAATGATAAAAGCGCGCAACACACACGCGTGCACACACGCGCACGAGGTCTCGAATACAACACGTAAGATATAAAATTCTCACCTTCCGCTTGTCCGGCGAGTATCAAAAGTCCGAGTGCCAGTCCAACCAATAGTAGCGCCGGCGATGTCCTCGTCACCTAAAATCCAAAGAAAGTCGCGTTAACGTCATTAAAGCGCCTAGTGATAACCTTAGTTAGCTAGTTTTTAATGATGCCGGACGTGCACAGCGACACATCCGGCACGATAAGTGGCGAAAGTTGCAAAGAATCGCGATGCTGCGTGCGCATGCAATGTAGACGCGCGGTGCAATGTCAACGTACGATTAATGCGGAATTACGCGTTGCTTAGAGATTACGCGATGGGTACCTTGGGAATTTTTCCCAGCATTCCCGGGCATGAGAGATACCGTGCAATTTGTTTAGCTAGCGAGCGAGTCCGTGAAAATTAAAGAGCGAGCGTCATGACTCGATTGTTAAGGTACCCACGTGTCATGGCATTTCTCATTCATTGTGTTGGATTTTCTAAAATAAGAAACACTTTCCCATTATTTTAGAATCATGTGTTGCGCTCTAGCCTTGAAGTTCAAACCCGGCAAGCCGTTAATCTCGTTGATCGCGTCAAATTCTCTCTAAATTTTTTATTAAGTTCATATAATTATGGGAATAAGATAATAATTCGTGATAATATTAATTTGAAAAATGTAATTGCAATTGAGTGAGAGTACGTGAATAGTAATTAGCCAGACGAGGAGGTTAATGTACATATCTAGATCGTCTTTAAATTTTTCAATACGGATGGTTTACGAATTTCAATTTGCGCACACAGTGTATTGTCATTGTTGTACATTAACATTAGAATAATAATACAACAGGATAATAAGAACGATAAGGAACGACAACGAACGACAACGAACGGCAACTAATAATAATTAATTAACGATAATAATAAAACTCATGGTAATTATAATAAATAATTATGATAATTATTGTAGTCATAATGTGGCGAATGTTGTTATTAAATTTTCTCTTCCTCTTGTAACATAACATTAAATTTTGAATTTTTTATGACCGTCAAATTTATCCCACAAAGCTCGCCTTATTGATCTAATTATCGATATTAGCTCCATTACAGTCTAATATAGTTAAAGAAAAACAAAAACACAACAAAAAACTCAATTTTCCAACGACGATCATTATAATCTCTCGATAAAATCAAGGGATACGTTAAAGTGCGAGAGAGCCAAAGAGAAGCACGATGACGACTTTTCGTCATTTAATCGGAACTTGAAAATCCGAAGCGAACGAGCGTCGCTGAGAAAACTCGAGCCGACACGATTACTTTACTAATATTCGTGTCTCCCGTTACATAAACGTCATTTTTCTTATCCGCGTTCGTCGTAACATCGTCGATCGGCCCCATTTTTCAAACGCCAGAGACTCGCGTCCTGCACGATTTCAACCTCCTTGATAAAAAAAAAAATAATAAATAAATAAAAGAGAGAGAGAGAGAGAGAGAGAGAGAGAGAGAGAGAGCGAGATAGAGAATCGATTGCACAATAGCTCGTCGCGGTCGATACTTGGACAAAGGAAAGAAAGCGCCGCCGATCGTCAAATTAAGCCGAAAACAACATCGGCCCCGCACACCCCTCGCCAATCCCTAAATCGCGGCCGATTGTCCCTCGAACGGTCTATTCCTCGCACCGGCATGCGGTACCCAAATGGTAACAACACTGGGTAACGCGACGGACCCCCGGACATGGCTCGCCGAGCCGCCGTTAAGACTCCGTCTTGCGTAACGGCGCCACGCACATCCGCGTCACCTCATCGCGCCTCGGCCGCCCCGAGCGCCGTTCGCGCGAAAGTCCGAGCCGCGTATTACTTATAGTTTTCGAAATCTCTATTGTCGAGTCGTCCTGTTTTTCTTACTCTCTCGCAGGGGCCATTTTTTCGAGAGGCGAGTCCGCGCCACTTATATAAGGAAATTGAATGCCGCGGGGAATAATCGCGAGGGCACATCAATTGGGCCCAACGCCCTGCTTTCTCGCGCTTGCCAATCGAGACTATTATTAGCGTCCGTAACGTAGCCTCGCGCTTCCTTTCCCTTTAATGCATCCTTTTTGCTTGTTTGTTTTGTTTTTGTTTATTGTTTCTTTCCTGTTTCTGGTCACGCCTAATGTAAGAGGCATCGCGATGACTACTTTCGAGCTTTGGAATGCCTTGATCCACGACTGATAATGCTGCTCGCGAGCTCCTATTTCATGTCGTTCTCGTCTGTTCTTTGCATTGGAAAGATAATGAAAAAATGGTCCCACTCCAATCTGATAGAACAGCGGGATACTTTTCCCTCGACACTTAAGTGAAACATAAATAACTAAATCATATCTTATTGCGGTTATAGAAATTGCACTTGTAAATACTACCGTCGCTAAAGTCATTTCCTTCTTTATGTAAGCGAGCAACGCGCGCCCGAGTACTGTAAGGCACAGTTTTGCTCCTCGAGTAACGTAAGATGATACGAAATTCAATCTTAAAGGTAAATTTAGAACAAGAAGTTTGAAAAAGTCTGACACAAAAATTAATCCCCTTGGATTATCCATAACTATATTTCCTTACTTATTATATAATACATCCCGCTGCCCCGTGCCTGGGTACGCTCAATTTTTAACATAACGCAATATTATTATTACTTTGCTCATCCTCGCGCGTCAATACGTACAAATCCGATCGCTAATAATTTGCCTAACAACTAACGCCTAACGAATGGGACATTTAAATACTTACACATTCATTAAATATGTATTTTATTCATAGCTGTAATATATCGGAGCGCGCACGCGCTTTGAAATTGTTACTCAACGTTATTTATACAAATTTAATGATCACTCGGTCGATCCACCTCCCAACGTATTTTAACGCATTCTATTGCAAATTTGACGAGCAAACGAGCATCGATTGCACTGCAAAATAATTTACTTTCATGAGATACGCATGTTGGAATGAAGAAATTATAATTCTCTTGCACTAAACATCCCTTGGCATTATTAGGCAATTTATCGGTAACGGGATGACTGACGAGGAATGATGCCCCTATGTATTGCCAGAGTATAAAATTAAGATTCTTTCTTTTCGGCTCGTGAGGACGATTAGCTACGATGGTCCGCAGAGCTGAACATCGAGCATTGCAAAGAGTCCTAGAGAGAGAAAGATAACAATGAATGGGCACGTCGAGGGATATCGGATGTATCGGTCTGGCCTTCTTAAGGAGTAACGCCTCGAGAACTTTACAATCGCGAGAGGAGATGATTAGAGGATCCGCTCCCACCTAATCCGCCTTAAGAACTGCTCGGGAATCTGTTTGCTTTCTACGTACCCACGACACTCAAATTCATCAAGATCCTTACCTATTCCCTCCCGCCGGCTCACCAAGAGCCAAGAATTTCTAGCATGACAGCCCAACGGCCCAATGCCTATCTACATCTCCCCTCTAATATAATCCCGATTTTATGCGCACCGAGTGCCAATAATCGTTCGCAGTAGCGCAATCGAACCTTTGATAATTCAAGCGATTTAAATTCGAAGCGGCGATAACGTTTTACGATCTAGGGCTTCTCGAAGAGACTCCTTTACGACAGCGAATGGGAGAACGAACGCGGAGGCGCTGATGCATCGAGGCGAGACTTCCGGGTCGGTAATCATCGGCTAATCCAAATCATCGGGTATCATTTCCTCTAATGCTTTATTCATTAGCTTTTTCTCTCGCCTCTCTCTCTCTCTCTCTCTCTCTCTCTCTCTCTCTCTCCCGACCCACGCAACCATCCACCGCCCGGTTTCTGTCACGTTTCTGCCTCTCGCATGTTTTTCTGCCCGACATTACGGAAAAACTATAGCACTGGTGGGCTATTTAATTCTTCCTCCAATACATACATACACACCGGGCAAACGGATTGTTTTATGAGCAATTATAAGGAGAGAAAGTACCGCGGAAATATCCAGCAACGATCGTTGAACTCTGAAAAATGGAAATTCATTGGCTGAATATCCTTTACTTAATCGATGCCCTCGACCACATTCAACGAGCTGCTACCGTGTGTGCCTTATAAGATCGCGTTTTTATCGGTGAAATTTCGCGCGCATAAGATTTCGCGCGTGTGACTTTGATCGAGTTGATCGAGAATCTACTGGAGTCTCTCTATTCGATGGCAAAAATTTTGAAATCCAACCTTACGATTCTATGCGATGTAACAAAAAGCTGTACTTTTTCTTTTTTGTTTATGTTTTTTGTTTATGTTTTTTTGTTTTTGCTTTTGTTTTTTGTTTTTGTTTTTATCCTTCACGATTAATTTATGTACACATGGGATTTGTAAATTTTTGCACATTGGATCTGTAATATATATTATAAAAATAATTTTTACAGCTCCCCATTAAATATACTTTTTATATTAGGAAGCCAATATTTTCTATAATTATATTCATCGTGCTTTAAGAAACATTTTGCATTCTCGGTGTGAAATTGTGTGCGTGTGCGGATTGTATTAGAGTAGATTAAAATTTCAGTGTTTTTAAAAGTGAAAACTCCAGTGCCTCTTAATATTGACTATTTAGCAAAAGTAAAGCCAGCCTTTTGACCGCTAATGAGTTATATATTTCGTAAAAATTATTAGCGAATGGGGAAAATTAAGCCTAACAATGTACGAGTAAAAATTCACGTAACTACCAAATAATTATACCTTACTGCACACCGAGTTAAATTATTCTTTCTCTCTCTCTCTCTCTCTCTCTCTTAATTTTGCTCCACATATTATACACTATATTTGGCATAATGCACAGAAATTTTATTATTATTTATCCTTATATATATATATATATATATATTCCGATAATTTTTCAACAACAAATTAATCCATACTTTCTTTCCTTTCTCCCTCCCCTCTAATTATTCTTTTCTTTTTCAGGAAGTATTTCTCAAGCGATCCTCAAATCATAATCCGCGCCATTATTCGCCACGCATGGATTATCTACATTTATTTGAATTGCCCGGCACTCGGCGACTGACAATTAAAAATCTAGCCACCGAATTCGCAAAAAAGTTTTCCCTTTTGCCGCGAACGCAAACCGGCTACGACGGAGATACTCGAGAA